TTACACTTATGCATTCCCTGCAGTGAGGTAAAAAATGTCCTAGTGTTTTTATCGCCCCCTTACCCCCCTTATACTTACCTGAGTCCTATCTTGATCCAGCGCTGTGCCCATCTGCAGCAGCTCTCCTCTCTGTCTCTGCTCCCAGAAGCATTGTGTCCTACTCAATAAAATCCTGTGAACAGAGAGCAGGGCTGGAGCTTAGCTGCACTGTGTATGTCAATAGATGCACACAACCTGGCTCGGGATTGAGCCTGCAGGTGTGCCCCCATAGGAAAAGGCACCATGAAGAGGAGGAGCTAAGATCACCAGCAAGGGACCAAAGCAAAGGAGATTAAGAGCTGCTCTGTGAAAAACCATTGCACAGAGCTGGCAAGAATATTACATTTGTTATTTTAATAAAAACATACTTTTACAAACTCATTATCAATAAATCCTAATAATACCCTTTCTGTGTAAACCTTTCCCCTACAATCTTAGACTGTGCAATAAGATCAGTTTTTCTCATGCAAATTGGATGTTAAAAGGTTACAGAAGGCAGTGACAGCTCATTAGGGAGATAGAACTAATTATGTCAATTTTTTTAAAGTCCTAGTTAAAATTTCTTTGTTTTGGATAAAAATTTCCACATAAAAAAACAAATTAGTTTTTGTTTTATGATAATAACAAGATAATGCTATGTTCTAATTATTATTGTATAGGCCAGCTAAAAATTCATTTAGATGGGAAGTATGGGGTTTGTAAACAAAACAAACACATATACTCACCTCTATATTGCAGCACCAGTGTGATGCTGCAGCTATGCTCTAAAACTGAGAACTGAGTGATCACATGATCGCTGATTGCTCAATTATCAGTCTGCTCAGAGCTGAGAGCAGTGACTGTCAATCACTGCTCTCTGCTTTGCTAGTCCTGCACTAACTGGAGCAGCGGGCTGGACACGGGGTTGGCGCAGCTGGTTCCAACTGTCAGCTGCCAGAGAGAGGTGAAGACGGCTGTTAATCAGGTAGCTGGATTGATACCAACAATATTGTAGTGATCCTTCCAGAGCCTAAAGCGACTTGTCCACTGAAAGCCACTGACAGCCAACTCTTGGTCACAGAAAAACGTTTTGGTTATACTTCTCTTTGAAAGTGGTTGTAAAGGCTCAAGGTTTTTACCTCCATGCATTCTATGCAAGACGGTAAAGTCCCTCTGTGGGCAGCATCCCCCCTGTCCACCGCTGATTACTTAACCTGAGCCTCATCTGGATCCAGCAATGTGCACAAGAGCAGTTCTCCTGGGACTCTTCTTCAGGCTGAGACAGCAGTGGAAGCCATTAGCTCTGGCTAACGTCAGTCACAGGCAGTGAGCCAATGAAAGAGCAAGGGCTGGGCTGAGCCATGCTCTGTGTGTGTGAATAGACATGCAGAGAGACAGCTTGGGAGTGAGCCTGTTTGGGTGCTCCATAGCAAACTTCTTACTCTGGGGGCACTCAGTAGGAGGGGGGACCAGGAGTGTCAGCGGGACTTGAGAAGAGGACGATTGGGGCTGCTCTGTGCAAAATCACTGAAAAGTGCAGGTAAGTATAATATGTTTATTATTTTTTTAAAAATGCCTTTAACCGCTTCCCGAGCACCCTATAGCAGAAATACTGCTACAGGGCGGCACGGGTGCGCAAAATCACGTATATATATATATATATATATATATATGTGTGTGTGTGTGTGTGATTTTGCATTTCTGCCATTCTCGGCCGCAGCTGTCAGTCACCGGGTCCTGGCCAGTGATTACTCGTTGGCATCCGGTGATTACTCATTGGCGCCCGGTGATTACCGAGGATCGCTGACGGGGAGAACTGTTTTGTTTACTAACAGTCCTCCTCCCTGTCAGCTCGGGCCCACTGCTTTGGAAGGCTATGCATAGCAGTGTGCTTACAGTGAAGCACACAGACACCGGCCCCTAGTAAAACACTCCCTGCACACAGTTAACCCTTTGATCGCCATGTTAACCCCTTCCTGCCCAGTGCCATTAGTACAGTGTCAGTGCTTTTTTTTTTAGCACTGATCACTGTATTTGTGTCACTGGGGATGTCAGTGACAACAAGTCAGTTCTTCCCAGTGACAGAATGTCCACTGCAGTCCCGCTACAAGTCGCTGATCGCCGCCATTACTAGTTAAAAAAAGAAAAAAAAAATCCCAGTATATACTGTATACCACCATTTGTAAAAGCTATAACTTTCATGTAAACCAATTAATTTACATGTATTGGGATTTTTTTTAGCAAAGACATGTAGCAGAATACAATAAAGTTTAATAGCAAAAAGTAAAAAATATTGTCTTTTTTTATAGCGCAAAAAAATATAAAACACAGAGGCGATCAAATACCACCAAAAGAAAGCTCAGTTTGTGGAGAAAAGAAATATATTTCATTTGGATGCAGAGTTGCATGACTGCGCAGTTTTCAGTTAAAGTAACGCAGTGCCGTAACGCAAAAAATGGCCTGGTCAGGAAGGGGGGTAAATCCTCAGGAGGGGTGGTTAAAATCACTTTAGAGGCTCTAAACTACCTTTCCAGACTGCGGTAATATAGTCAATAAATCTGTTTGATAAAATGATCTAATGGGATTTATTGCACAATATTTGTTCATTTTCCACTCTCTCCATGAATATATTTTCTATGCTTGGAGCAAACTTTCCTCCAATTGCAACGCCCATGTTCTACTGATCAAAACTTCCCCTAAACCAAAAATATTTATGCTTCAGTGCAAAGTCCAAGGCTTCTAGGAAAAAGTTATTTTGTTCTTTCCTTATTGCTTCTGAGAATTTTACAACACATTTTACAGCTCAAACTGCATTATCATATTTTATAATATACAATAAGTGTAACAAGTGTTTGTTTTGTATTTTTTAGGTAGGTTTCTGTACATTGCACTAAGAACTGCAGAAAATAATCTACGTATTGTCTTAATCTGGAGCATGGAGAATCAATGACATTTACAATTGTTCTCCCAGGGGGATGGGTGTCCTTATTTTTGTGAATCTTTGACATGTAATGTATAATTAACATTCTGCATAGTGAGAAAACAAGATATTTCTTTTCTTTTTTGTGTAACCACTTGTCTACCAGGCACTTTCAGTTCTTCATGGCCAGGCCAATTTTCAGCATTCAGCGCTGTCGCACTTTGAATGACAATTGCGCGGTCATGCAACACTGTACACCAACAAATGTTTATAATTTTTTTTAGACAGAGATTTCTTTTGGTGGTATTTAATCATCACTGGATTTTTTATTTTTGCACAAAAAAAAAAAAAAGGCTGAAAATTTGGAAAAAAGTTTTCTCTTAGTTTCTGTAATAAAATTTTGTGAATAAATAATTTTTCTCCTTCACTGATGTGCGCAGATGAGGCTGCAGTGATGGGCACTGATAGGCGTTGTAGCAATCGTGCACACAGAGATGGATGCGAACCTCCATTTTGGCAAAGGATCGTCCATCTTGTATAATTTCTACTCCCAAATCAGCTTTCCTCACCCCCCCCCCCTCTCTGTTGAGTGACATGTGGTCTGGATGAGGCAGAGGTCACAGGTGTCAAGCTCAGCATGAGAGCTTCAGGGCTATAAACCTCAATTAGCTGGGGCCCTGATGTCTACCGGACTGTTGCTAGAAAGGGATCGTAAAAACGTAAACCAAGTCCTTCATGGAGTTCAAAAGACCTTCCAAGGGGTCGTAAAAACAGACTTACATTTAAAAACTCACTTTTGCATATAAGTTTATATCTTCAAATAGGACATAATTACCTAAACATGGTGCACAGATTTGGATAGCTAACTTTGATACAAATCACCTGATTTATTACACCCCCTATCTGACATATACCAGAGAGCAGAAAAGTATATCTCCTGACCCATTCAAGTGAATATTTCATATCTAACCATTCCACAGATGCGTCTGCATATTAATCTACTAGTGGCAAGGCTGCTAAATGCACAGAGAATAAGTGATGAACCATATTATAAGCTATGGGAGTTTTTGGTCATAGCTTAGGTCTCCACCTACAAACGCCCCAAATGAGGCGATTGGGCACTGCTCCAGGGAGACACCCTGTGGAGTTGCTAGAAAAAGCAGGCTGAATTGAGCTGTGTGTGTGAGTTGAAGAATTCTCCCTTTTTAACATCGGAACCAACTTTGGGAGAAAACGCATTTTTGCTTAGAAAACTTGAAAGCTGCTAATTCCAAGGCTTTTGGCAAGTACTTTATCTATCTAAATTCCTTTCTGTTATCTCTTTGCTGTGTTATTGCTTTCTGTATATTTTATATATATATTGGCTACATCCTTTTCTGTAAATATTTTTATTGCACCTTTTTGACCTTTTAGTAATAAATCTTACTTTCTGAAAGCGTTGAACTGTTTCTAAAGCTCTTTAACATAAACTACAAATTACTGCTGCTGAAGAGCGCTACTGTGTGTGGGTTTAACCCTCTGTATAACCCGCCTGCGGTGACAGTGGTATACAGACGATTATCCAACCATCATAGTGTCATTGCTGATATTGCCGAGTTTCCTCTTTCTCTGTACAAAAAGGAGGTGGTGGCAGTGTGAAGGGTTAATTGCATAATTAACCTGACCCAGTAACAATCGCGCTCAGGCTGCAGGTACATCGATTGTGGTCCATTAGCTGGAAAATCATTGTGCAGGGTGCAGCTGGGCGTGGCATTGTTATGCACGTGACAGCGTGGTTTTAGATTGGCTAGTCCTTTAGCCACGAGTTTGGCGAGAAGGGAAGGGGTCTGACGCCGGGATTGTCACAGGTGGCACTGATGAGGAAGCACTGGTAGGTGGCACTGATGGGCATTGACAGGCATCACTTGTGGGCACTGAAAGGCAGCACTCATATATGGCATGGATAGCTGGCACTGACGGGCACTGATAGGTGGCACTGATTGGAACTGTTAGACGGCACTGATTGGAACTGTTACGTGGCACTGATAGACAGCACTGAAAGGCAACACTGACACTGACAGGTGGCACTGATTGGTGACACCGACTGGCACTGATAGGTGGCACTAAAAGGCAGCTCTGATGGGAACTGATATGTGGCATTGATGTGTACTCATAGGCACTGATATGTGGCATTGATGTGCACTGATGATCACTGGTATTTGGCATTGATGGGCACTGACAGGTGGCACTGTTGGGGCTACACTGATCATCAGTGCCCTGATCATCAGTATAGATGTCCCCTCTGAGGAATGCCGCTTACCTGCTCTCCTCTCCTCACGAGCTGTCAGCGTGAGGAGATGACTGCCGATGACCGGCATTTCCTTGTTTACATGCGATCAGCTGTGATTGGATACAGCTGATCACATGACAGAGCCGATGTCATCGTCTCTTTACTTTGATCGGTGATCCGCTGTGTTGATGTGTTTTAAATTTGACTAGCAAAGAGGAAAAATAAACGCAAAACGTATAAAAAATGGGGCAAAAACGCAACACAAAACTCAATGCACAATCTACTCAAATACAAACTGCATAGGTGTGGACCTAGCATAAATCACTGTCTGTTTTATTCTAGTAGGACCTTTGCATGAAATATTATATGTCTCTCCATCTTCTATCTATTCCTCCTTAGTCAGCCAGTCTGATAATAATGTCTTCACGTTTCTCTAATTATAAAATTCCTTTTGGTAAATGCCGTGGATCCCAAACTTTATTAACTTTTTCAGACATCTATTACCATAGTTTTAAAATCATCAATCATTTTATTTCCAACTTACTATTTAAAAAATGTTTCATTTGTGGATAAAACCTCTTTGATGTTCAATTTCTTAATATACTTGTGTATACCTATATACATCAGATCTCTATCCTATACTGTTAGTTCCTTCTTTCTTGATGAGGCACTACTGACCTTCACCCCAATTTTCATTCCCTATTGTCTGTCTACCTGCAAGTGATTGAACCAAAAGGGAAAAGCAGTCTGATATCTCATTTTACTCAATGATGCATATCTACTTGGTACTGAACTATTCTGTTATCAGAATACGTATTTCTCTGGTTGAAATATACTGTCTTTCTTTGGGGTGGCGGTCTTTAATTAGATATACAGTATGATTGTGTATATTCCCAATTTCTAAATAGATATTTTCCATCATCCCTCCCATTCTATATGGGGAGATTATCCTACTTTCTGGACTGCAAACTTTAACCACCACTTGCCTACCGGGCACTTTTACCCCCTTCATGCCCAGGCCAAATTTCAGCTTCCAGTGCTGTTGCACTTTGAAAGACAATTGCGCTGTCATGCAATACTGTACCCATAGTAAATTGTTTATCATTTTTTTTATACAAATAGAGCTTTCTTTTGGTGGTAAATAATCACCACTGGGGTTTTTAATTTTTTCATTATAAACAAAAAATGTTTCTATTATAAAATTTTGCACACAGGTAATTTTTCTCCTTCACTGATGTGCGTTGATGAGGCAGCACTGATGGGCACTGATGAGGTGGCATGGATAGGCAGCACTGATGGGCACTGATAGGCTGCGCTGGTGAGGTGGCACTGATGAGGCAGCACTTGTGGACATTGATGAGGAGGCACTGATGATGCTGCACTGATATGCAGCAATGATGAGCACTGATGGGCGGCACCGTCAGGCAGCACTGACTGGCTGCACTGTTGGGCAGCACTGATGAGTGGCACTGTTGGGCAGAACTGATGAGTGGCACTGGTGGGTAGCACTGCTGGGCACTGGTGGGTCGCACTGCTGGGTGGCACTGCTGGGTGGCACTGATGACCAGTGCACTGATCATCATTGCCCTGATCATCAGTGCGGGTGTCCTCTGTGACATTTGCAGTATTTTCCTCACGCTGTGACAGTGTGAGGAAATTGCTGCTCGATAACCGGCAACTGTATTTACTTTGTGATCTGCTGTGTCATTGGACACTGACAACGCCACGTGTGCGCCGCTGGGGGTGTGTGGGGGTGCGTTCTGGGAGGACGTCATATGACGCCCTCCCAGAACTGGACAATTGCATTGTAGCCAACATTCGGTTGTTAAATATCTTCCGTTCTCTCAGGTGTTGAGTTATGAGATAACAGATTAATTTTTTTGTCTTGTCATTTAAAAACTTGATTATTTATGCAGCTTTTAAGATCCCTCTGATACTATTTGCTTTTTTAAAAACCTGATCTCTTTGTCCATTTATGTAAGGCAGAAACAATTGAGTACTGTCTATGATACCTTTTTATTTGCACTAACATACAACTTTTCAGGACAAGCTTTTATTTAAAAAATTATGTAGTTCATCTGATAGCATAGTATCATTTGGTAATTATTTAAAGGGTAATAGTTAACTATGTTACATAGTTACATAGTCAGGTGGAAAAAAATAGACACTAGTTCATCTAGTTTAACCAAAAAAAGAAAAAAAAAAAAAAAAACACGCAAACAAATAGAAAACCTCCATATGAAATATTCTTTACACACAGTTGATCCAGAGGAAGGCAAAAAAAACATTAAAGCATGATCCAATTCACTTTGGTAGGGGAAAAAAAAAATCCTTCCTGATCCCCCATGAGGCAATTGGATATTCTGTGCATTTGGGAATGCATCCAGCTCTTTTTTTAGAATATTCTGCTGAGTTGGCCAGATTCTGTTTTTGAAGGAGTCTATTCCACATTTTCACAGCTCTTACTGTTAAGAAGCCTGTCTGTATGTGAAGGTTAAATCTCCTTTCCATATGTAAAGAGTGCCCCCTTTTCCTCTGTAATGACCTGAAAGTGAATAACTCTACACCGAGTTCACTATATGAACCATTGATGTATTTATACATGTTTAGCATATCCCCCCTTAATCTCCTCTTCTCAAGAGAGATAATACATTCAGCTCCTCTAATCTTTCTTCATAGCTGAGCACCTCCATGCCTCTTATCAGTTTGGTTGCCCTTCTCTGTACATTCTCCAGTTCCCCAATGTTCTTTTTGTGAATTGGTGCCCAAAACAGAACTGCATAACTGCTTTTATTTTTATCATTGATCACTGTATTGGTGTCACTGGGGATGTCAGTGACACCAAGTCAGTTCCCCCCCAGTGTCAGAATGCCCGCCGCAGTCCTGCTATAAGTCGCTGAACTTTGCCATTATTAGTTAAAAGAAAAATTACAGTATCTATATTTGTAAACGCTATAACTTTCACGCAAACCAATTAATTTGCATGTATTGGGATTTTTTTTTAGCAAAGACATGTAGCAGAATACATTTTGATCTAAATTTATGAAAAAAAATTAGATTTTTTTCATTTTTTTTACTGGACATGTTTAATAGCAAAAAGTCAAAAATATTGTTATTTTTCCTCAAAATTGTTGGTCTTTTTTTTTATAGAGCAAAAAATAAAAACTGCACAGGCTATCAAATACCACTGGGGGGGGGGGGGCAGTGTGTTGGTGCTTCACTGTAAACACACTGCACTGGATGGCTGTGCTGTGCACAGTCATCCAGAGCAGTGTGCCTGAGCAGACAGGGAGGAGGACTGTTAGTAAACAAAGCAGTCCTCCTTCCAGTTGAAGATGCTCTGTAATCACCAGGCGCCGGCGGGTAATCAGTGACCGGGACCCGGTGATTGACAGCCGAGGCCGCAAATGGCGTGAGTAGGGTGCGTGCCCCCTATCTGAAAATGCGAAATCACCTATATATACATGATTTTGCACACCCCTGCTGCCCTGTAGCAGTATTTCTGCTATAGGGCTGCAGGGAAGTGGCTAATAAACACAAAAACGGGTGGAACTCCACTTTACATTTGTGATCTACTAGAACAACCACATGAGTCTGATTTCAAAGTCTCTTCCCACCATTGACTCCACTGTTCTCCTCCTATGATGCATGCATATTCTTAGCTCCAAAATGCATAATGTTACATTTATCAACATTAAACCTCATTTGCCACATAGTTGCCTAATTACTGAGGTCGACTTGTAAGTTGCATACATTTTGTAAGGTTTTAGTTTGCCCCTAAAATCATTAATGTTTGAATCACTTTTAACATTCGCTCTCTCTCACTAGTATTAAACATAATGTGTTGCAGATTACATGTGTTTGGTGAAGTAGCTGCAATAGTTTTCTTTTTTCATACTTTTATTTTTGACCTGGTGTTCCTGCAAATAACACCCTTCCTGTCCCTGGGTGGCTACATCTCCACTGTATGGAGGGAGCTGTAGTTATTACTAGGCTGCTCTCCTGATTTGGACTACAAACATGTTTGTAGTGTTACGCCTGAAGGAGCCACTTGGTAGATAGAGTTCTCTGTTTTTGCCTGGACTCTGTGAACAACCTCGGCCCCTCTGACACACCCAGTTAAGCAAACAGATACTGCAATACTATTGGAGCACAAATAGAAATATTCTGCACACAACTATGTGTCGATATCAGAAAGCAAACACCAAACTAGTGTTGGGATCTATGTTCGAGTTGAACCTGAGTTTGACTCAAACATAGACCGTTCGTGTGTTCAGCGAACACACAAACAGTATGGGCTTTCAGCGGGCTGTTTGCTCACTGCGCCCCACAATGCACTGCACCCTGATGGTACATTGTGATTGGTCAAAGTTATGCACCACAGGTCAGGTGCAATGCTTTGGCCAATCACAGCACAGGATGACGTCACAAGGGGGTGGGTGAACTTCCGTTCCCTTGTGACGTCATGACAGTATTTAAGAACTGCCATCGGGGTGTAGCTGTGAGACGGCGGGAGCTGGTCTTTTTTTTTTTCTTTTTTCGGGTAGCGGCAGGCATCATGATTGACGTTGGATCTACTTCGGGGGGACAATTTTTAAACTTATTTAACTTATTTTAATAAATGAATTGTCAAAGACTGTCTCCTGTTTTTTTTTACACTGCACATTTTTTTTTGTGAATGGGTAGCAGCACCATGTATCGCATACTCATTCACATAGGGGCGGGGAGTGGGATCTGGGGGCCCCATTGTTAAAGGGGGCTTCAAGATTCAGATAAGTCTTCCACCCGCAGTCCCCCACAACCACAGCCCAGGGTTGTGGGGAAGAGGCCCTTGTCCCCATCAACATGGGGACAAGGTGCTCTGGGGGGGAGCCCCCCTGCCCCAAAGCATCCCCCCATGTTGAGGGCATGTGTCCTACTATGGTTCAGGAGCGAGCGCCCACCCCCCACTTTCCTGACCTGCTGGGCTGCATGCTCGGATAAGGGTCTGGTATAGATTTTGAGGGGACACCCACCCCATTGTTTTTTAAATTTCAGCATGGAGGTTCCACTCAAAATCCATACCAGAACCAAAGGGATTGGTATGGATGGGAGGGGGGACCCAACAACGTTTTTTAAAAATGTTTTAATTGTCGGGCAATGATGATAATTCTTTTGAAATTCAGCTGTCAGCGGGAACCCCAATATTAAAATACCACATGACTTATTATCATAACTCATGCAGTAGTTTAGTAACTGAGCGGTAACTTACTGCATACTCAGATGCGCGAACTTCGTGTTCGAAGTTCGCGGTTGAACATTCTGTAAGTTCAGATGTTCGACTCTGAACCGAACAAGGGGGGTGTTTGGCCCATCACTACACCAAACTTGTTAGTGGTAAAGAAACTCAATATATTGTCATGGGTTAGAGAAAAAGGCAGTATACGCATAAAAGAAAAATAGAGAATTAGCTCAAACACAACTCACTAGACAATGTAATCACTATGTTAAAGTAGCTTAGGGTAGAGCTCTGTACCACTAGAATAAAGTAAACCTAGCAATCCACAAAATCAGCAATAAACAGTAGCATTGCTAAACAGTAACAGCAATGGTGATAAATACTCCTACAACTCTTCTGTTACCAGCAGGCAATAACCAATTTATAGTGCACAGTATATGAATGGCTACAATGAAATGTAATGCTCTCTTAAGAGGTACTTCTTACTATGGACAATGGGCAAAATTCTTGTGAAACAACTATCTGGGGGAGCAGTCCTTAGCTCTAGTTTTTCAGCCTGCTAGTGTTGGGGTCTAATCTTTATGGTGGTGCACATAAATACAGTCCTGATAAAGTCTGCATGCCGTGAATAAAGCTACTAATTAGATGGCCAGTCCCCATGGACTCAGTCTCTGCTTGCAGCAATAGATCAATGGCTCTCACCAGTCCCAGTGATACAGAAACTTTGGTCAGCTATGCAGATGCCAGCTCACATCTGGATCTGCCTGGAGTAACTCCAGTCCTCAGCACACAGGTTAACAGCACTCAATTTTCTGTCTCAGGCTGCAGACTTGTAGCAGGATCTCTCTCTCTAAAGTTCATAAATGTCCTTATTAGCAGTAGAAGTAGGTTATTTCAAACTAAGTGTTATAAGCTTTGACAATACAACCTGGAAGCTGATTAGTTCAATACAGAAGTGCACCAGATTTTGCACACTCCAGTTTTAGTAAATCCCCCCTAATTTGTCACTGTGTCTGCGACAAGCACACAAAAAAAGTTACCTTTAGTTCATGGATAGAAAAATTTGGGGAAATTAGGACAACTCAAAGACAGGCCAGAGCTATAGGGGTGTTGTGGGTTTACTTTTTTATTTGTCTTGCATTTGCTGCAATGGTTGCTGGGACCTAGGACACCAGCGTCTTAGCAACCAGTGAT